GGGGGGGGGGGGGGGTGGTGTGGGGGTTTTTTGTGTTTTTGGGGGGGGGGGGGGGGGGGGGGAGAATTTGGATATAACATGCGCGTAACATATGCAAGTGAAGAAAGTGCGATCTAGTCTTTATAATTATTAAATTAATTAATTATAATAACAATTTACATTTTAATCAGTAATAATAATATAATGATGTACAATATTATATTATATGATGTAATGTCAAGAATATTACAAAGCGGATCTGGATATTCGGCTATTTTTATCGACAGTGCTGTTTATCAGGGCCGAGGTCCCATTAGCAAAAAAGATAGGATCGAGCTCGTGAATCTGGATGTGTTTGAAACACAGATGCAGAAAAGCAGTTCGATCCCGATTTCCTGCACATCTCCACAAACTCGTCCAGATTCAGGCATTCGATCCGATCCTCTTTGCTAGTGGGACCACGCCCCAGGGAAGGGAGGAGAGGGGCGAAGAGGACGAAATCAGTGAGGTACAGAAGAGATAACAGAACGGAAGGTAAATATAGAAATTCATTAATAACTAATAATTAATAATAATTATTAACAATTCTCTCAATACTATCAATAATTATTCAATACCAGTAAAAGGAAGGATAAGGATTTTCCTGATTGTCAGATTTCGATTGGAAAGGATGATAAGGACTTCTTTTCCTGATTGTCAGATACTAATATGCACCATCTGACAATCAGGAAAAAAATCCTTATCCCTCCTTTCCAAGTAAAAGACCCAACCTTTCCTTCACAAAACTCCTTATCCTTATAAACTTATCTTCAGATAATCCTTACACACTTATCGTCAGATAATATCTACACTATTTCCATATTCGTCGTCTGGTTCACCAGGACTCGAACCCTCGTCTTCTCTGCTTACTAACAGTTACATCTGTATACATACCAGTTTACCCTTATAGGACAGGCATCATACATACTAGGAAGCGTCTCTGGCACACGGGGAGAGCGACCGAGCGAGCGAGAGCGAGAGACAGAGAGAGAGAGAGTGAAACGAACGGAAGGAATTCGGACGGCTTCCGCTCTCTCTCTCTCTCTCTCTCTCTCTCTCTCTCTCTCTCTCTC